TCAATAAAAACAACAAAAGTGTTCTAAGAAAAACATGAAAAATCTCCATAGTACCATGTCTACTAACAAGTTTGAACTTAGAGTTCAATATATTCTCACAATTTTTATGGTGATTAAAGACTCATGGGTGAATTTTATAAGCGTTAAATACCATTCAAATACTAATACACTCAAAGTTCTTCAGAAAAACTAAAATGTGGAAAATACAATTCATTTTATGAGAATAGCTAAAGTTTGGAACCTATTGCCAACAATGTCATTGAAAGAATAAATTTCACAATTCACTTTTCATCTTGAAGTAAATTGAAATTGTAATTCAAATTAAAACTGCATTCTAACTGTATTTCTAATTGTTCTCTTTAGTGTACTCTAAATCATAGCAAACTTGGATTATGGAACATAAGTCATATACTGTTTTCTTGGAAAATATAAATCAACTAAATAACTGAAGAACAAAAAGTAATAATTATTCTTACAAAATTATAAATAAAAGGAACTTAGATCAGTAATTGGTATTGCAGAATCTAAAGGAAATATCATAGCTTGTGGTTCAATGTTAAAGCAAGAATGAGACAAAAATTCTTGATGTTATCATTTCTACCAGACATTACACTTGCATATATAGCCAAAGTAATATTGTCACATACACACACACACACAAAAACCCAAAAATGTACTGGGAAGGCTTTATCATAGCTGCTATTATTTTCCAGTGCTGGTAATGTGTAAGAAAAAGTGATAATAATTAATAATTTTATTTAGTACTCAAAAAATTTGAGTATAATATTAAAAATCCATGCCTACATCTCACCCATAAAGGATTCACAGTGAAATTTAAATTTATACTTTAATATGAAACACCTAATGATAAATCCTTTAAATGTTTGGAAAGATAAAACCAAGAAGTTATAGAAAAGCACTTATAAAAATCAAAATAAAATACAGTAGTACATTGGTTCAAGAACTTAATTTGCTCCACATTTCTGGGGAAGATGGCCATTGTCATGTTCTTCATCCTTCATAGAATTCACAAACAGAAGCAAAATTCTACCTAACACTTCTGTTCACCAACCAGCAACCTGCTTGACACATTCAATGAAGCCAAGTTCCTAACCTTGAACACCCTGAACACCAGCATGCTGGTGTTCTGTGGTGTGTGGGTCACCTTCCTCCCTGTGTACCACAGCACCAAGGGGAAAGTCATGGTGGCCATGGAGGTCTACTCCATCTTGGCCTCCAATGCAGGGCTGCTAGGCTGCATCTTTGGTGCAAACTGCTACATTATTTTGTTAAGATCAGACAGGCATACTCTTCCTAGGTTCAAATGTAAAACACATTCTGGAAGAAAAACAGTCTTCAGTTAAAATATTCTTTTACTAAAATACATCAAGTTTCTGCACCATTTTCCAGTCTTATATTTGATCACAGTATGGGATTTACTGTAATAAAGGAGTGTTAACTCCTTTCTCTAATACACTTACACCTGTAACTATCTGTAATTATCATATTTTTCAATTGGAATTTTACTCTAGATTTTTGTTCCATTGATTCTTCAACCAATCTTATTATTTGTGTTCAATTTTGATTATATTATTCCTTATTTTGTTCTCATCTTGAATTTCTCAAGTACTTTTATAAATTTTAATCCACTAAATTTTATGTATGGATCAATGTCCCAGAAGCTATTTTGGAAGAATTTTCCTCACATAAGGTTTTTAGTATTCCAGAAATTGTTTGTCATATGTAATAGCAAAAAGTCTTGAATTTAAGGTGACAAGATGTTAAATTTGTATTTTAACTTTTTAGTAAATAAACTTGTTAGTAATAGTGATTTTTCCTATACATGGTTGTATGACTCTTTCCATGTACCTTTGTGCAATAATCCCTCATTAGTATGAATCATGTATTTACATATATAGTTCTTATTTTATACACATTTTAAATATAGATCTGTGGGGAAGAGATATCATGCTGCCTGTCTGGCTGCACTGTTGGAGTACAGAAAGGGGGCTTGATAGCCAGGGAGCTATCTGTAGCAAACTGTCCTAGTCAACTGGGGTGCAAGGAGGAGCAAGGAGGAGCAAAGAGGAGCAAGAAAGAAGGCCAATCTGCTGCTGGCCAAGCCACAAAGCCCCTCAGGCTGGCAGGAAAAGAATGAGTCAGGTGTTTGTACTATCACCAATTCACGGAGCCTGCATGTCACTTTCCAGTGACTGAAATAGTATTCCCATTCAAACTAAGACAGTCCTGTAGCGAAACTTAAATTCTACTTTACTATGACGGCTCAAATCCACCTTTGCCCAGTTACCAACGACTGTGACCCATACATTTCTTATGAAAATCGATTTTCTTTTGCTAAGATTTTTTTTTTTTTTGAAAACGGGAACACATACATGGCAACTGCAAGAGAAATCTACTAGTTAACCATATCAAATGTGACAATAAACTTTCTTTACAAGCAAGGTAATTTCTGCAAATGTCATGATCAGCAATCAGCATCAGGGGCATTTCAGTAAAGAAAAGTGAGGCTAAGACCTGAAGCCAGTCAGGCTTTTCCCCACTTAGCACTATGCTGGGTAGCAGAGCTGGAAACCAGAGAAACCAGAGAAACCAGAGAAAAAAAAAAAAACAGTGAAGAATTAGAGGCAAAGAACTTCAACTGCAGGTATCCACAGATAACATCAGTGCAAACTACAAAACAGGACAGTATTTTTAGCTTTCAGGAAAACCATTTCAGTAACTACTTCCAGAAAACTGAGCAAACACATGAAGCACTCAGTATACTAAAACCAACCACTGCTGTTTATTAGCAACTTGAAGTCAAACAAATGCTGAATGCCTCCTATGTTCGGCGCAGGTGGCGGAAGGTCAATCAAATACCCTTGCACTGCCAGGAGAATCCCAGGAGGACGACACTAAGCCTGGGGTTGTGATCAGAGATTCCAATCACAAGTTCTTAAACTCTGTATTTCAGCGTTTTGCACCCGGAAAGCAAGACCCAAAAAGCACTGAGCAAGCGCAGTGGCGCAGGGCTTGCAATAGCAAGCCATCTTCCCATTGGCCGTGCGTTCCAAGGGCTCAGGCGCAGTGGTGAGGGAGCGTGGCAACAACGTGGTTCGCACCACTCCGAGGCGACACTGAGGAGGCGCGCGATTCCAGTTCAGCTTACGGTTCAGCCTACGGTTCAACTTACGGGATCTCTCACAGCACTGGACCTGGAGCAGCAGTCCTGCCCTGGGGGAGGAAGGTGAGTGAAACGCTTCGCAGTGGCAGAGCTGAGGGCACGGAAACGGGGTAGAGGAAGGTCAGACCCACCCCGGTGTAGGTGATCCTGAGGGGCTGCAAGAGGGAGCTGGGCTTGTGGAAGCGAGGGGCCAGTCCTGTCGGGCACGGGGCGGGGCCTTGTGATGGACGGGCGATAGGCCAATGGGGGAAAGGTGCGGGCCCGGTAGGGCGGCGACTCCGGAGAACTGGCTTGTGGGGAGTAGCAGAGACCGGTCTCCTCCCCTGCTGCATGAACTGGAACAAGTCACTTTTCTGAGTCTCAGCTTCTTCACCTGTGAAAGACCTCATGGAAATACAAGCCACACAAGGTTTTTGCCATTAAGGACTGGTGCTTGGACTCGATATTCAACTCGTGGCCCCTCCTTACCCGCACCTGTGAAGAACAGAAACCTCTGGCTACAGCCCTATATCTAGCTGGCTACATACTTATTAATCAGAATCGTATTAAATGCCCAGGAGATGCTAAAGCCCCTAGTTCAGAGACCTGGAAGCAGAGAAGAGCAAGACAGGAAAAGAAGATACCTTCTTTTATTTAGCTTATATTCCCCCAGTGAGAAAGAATAATGAATAAAATAGGTTCAGACAGTGCTAAGAGCTATGAAGAAATTAAGTACAGGTTAGGGTGATAAAGATACGACCTAAAGCAGAATGTGTGCATGGTGTGTATGCCTCTGTATGTGTATGCATGTGCATGATGTGAGTTGGAATATATTGGACACTATCAGGTGGCCAAATTGGGGATGGAAGGTGAGCTGAGGCCTGAATACTGGGTCATTCTTTCCCAGGCAGGGGAACCAGCAATTACATGGCCCAGGCTGATTAGGTCAGGCTTAATAACTGGTCAAAGTGTGTGTAGGCTGACCAGTGAGCTACCTTTAAAGAGAAGCAATGCTCAACAGTCTTTGTCTTGGGATTGAGAACCAAAAATTACGTAAAGAACTTTTACTTAGCGGACGTAATTGAAGAGGCCATGTGCCTGCTAATTATCTGGGTAATGAGAACATAGGAGTGAGCTGAGGAAGTCAGATTGGGGCTCTGTCTCACAGCTGACTGGACAGCAGAATGATCATCCATGGTATTTTCTTACTGGTGAGATCTCTGGCGCTGTCTTAAAGGCTGAGCTAGCAGCCTTCTCACCTGCAAGAAACCCCACCCTGCCAGTGACGTGTTTCTGACTTTCCCAGAGTCTCAGTTAATTTTTCAGTGTGTATCATTTCAGTAAATACCTCTTTTACTTCAACAAGAGCTCCTGCAGCTACATGAACTTGGTGAAAGCGAAGCCATATAGACCTAGTTTGAAGGGCTGATTTTCCTCTTAGTTGTAACTTTGAACAGTGACTTACTTTATTCTATCCCCTCCCTCCCATGTGCTGTAGAGTGAACCTAAGGCTTTTTACAGGTGAGTGTTCCACTGCTGAGCCACTACTCCAGCCAGCAATTATTTAATTTCTTTGTTAAAAATTAATTAATTTTATTGGTACATTTTAGAGATACATAAGGATAACACATCATATGGAATTTGTACCTGTACATGATATATCTTGATTCATTTTTCCACTTTCTCTCCCCTCCATTCACCCCTTTTCCCCTCCTTATTTACAAAAGATTTGTTTCCTTGTTTCCATTTTTTCCCTCTATTCCCTTTTCTTCCTTTTCCTTTCCTTCAATTCCCCCTTTCCCTCTCTAGTTCCCCTTCCCATTTGAACATTTTCTTCCTATTTCATAATATCTATTATACATTTTGGTCCTTATTTATACTTTCAGTTTATAACACCAGAGAAACCATTTGATATTTGGACATGTGAATCCAATTTATTTTACTTAAGAGTATGGTCTCAAGGTGCATCCATTTAGCTATAAATGTCTCACGTTTATCCTTTACAGTAGAGTATACTTCATTGTATAAGAAAACCACATCTTTATCCATTCATCATTTGGGCATTTGGGTTGTTTCTAAGATTTTGCTATTACAAACTGTTCTGCTACAAACATCAGAGTATGTATGACTGTAGTAGGATGCTTTTAATTCTTTCGGAAAGATACCAAGAAGGGGAATAGTTGGGTCAAATGGAACCTCTAGTTTTAGTTTTTTAAGGAATATCCACACTGATTTCCACAGTGGTTGCAGCAGTCTACACTCCTACCAGCAGTGGAGAAGGGTTCCTTTTCCCCCACATCCCCACCAACATTAGTTATTGCTTGATTTCTTTATACTAGCCATTCTTTATGGAGTGAGATGGATTCTCAGTGTTATTTTAATTTGCATCTCTGAAGTGACCAGTGACGTTGAACATTTTTTCACATATTTATTTGCCATTTCTACTTCTTGAGAAGTTCCTATTCATTTCAGATACCCATTTTTGGACTGGGTCTTTAAACTTGGGGAATGAGTTCTTTATATACTCTAGATATTAGTCCTTTGTCTGAGGAACAGCTGACAAAAGTGTTTTCCCACTCTGTGGGTTATCTCTTCACTCTGTTAGTAGTTTCTTTTGATGTACAAAAGGCTTTTAATAAGATGAGATCCCAGTTGATTTTTTTGTGATATTTCCTGTGCAATAAGGGTTTTGTTCATAAAGGTTTTTTTCCCGTCACCTATCTCTTCAAGAGTTCTACGTATTCTGTCTTCCAGTAGATGTGGTGTTCTGTTTTAATATTTAGATCCTTGATTCAATTTGATTTTAGTTAGTGCACGATGAGAGATAATGGGTCTAATTGTAGCCTTTGACATGTGGAAAGCTAGCATTTCCAGCACCATATATTGAAGAGGCTGTCTTTCTTCCAGTGAAGGTGTTTGGCCCCTTTGTCAAAGATAAGGTGGCTGAGTATGTTTGGAGTTGTTTCTGTATCTTGTAGTCTATTTCATTGATTCCCATCCCCCCACCCCCAGTACCATGCTATTCTTATCACTGTAGCTTTGTAGTATAATTTCAAGTCAGGGATTATGATGCCCCCTGCCTTGGCTTTGTTGCCCAGAATTGCTTTTGCTATGCTAGGTCTTTTCTGGTTCCAAATGAATTTTAGGATTGTCTTCTCTAATTCTGTGAGATATGCTATTGGTATTTTGATTGGCATTGCATTAAATCTATCCAACAATTTTGGGAATATGGCCATTTTTCACTGTATTGGTTCTTCCTACCCAAGAACAAGTGATATCTTTCCATTTTCTGATCTCCTTTTTCAGAGTACTGTAGTTTTCAATATCAATGTTTTTACTTCATTAGATGGATTACAAGATATTTCATTTTGGGGGATGCTGTTGTAAAACATGTTGTTTCCCTAATTTCTCTCTCAATGAATTTATTATTTGTGTATAGGAATCCTGTCGATTTTTTAAGTCTTGACTTTGTGTCCAGAATTTGTACTATTGAACTTGGTTATTCAATATAGAATCTTTTGGTGTATTTTTTTGGTGTCTTCTATGTAGAGTATCGTGTCATCTGCAAATAATGATAATATAATTTTTCCTTTCCTGTCCATATTCCTTGTATTTCTTTTTCTTGTCTAATTCCTCTGGCTAATGTTTCCAGAACTATATTGAATAGAAGTGGTGATAGTGGACATCCTTGTCTTGTTACTGACTTTAGAGTGAGACCTTTCAGTTTTTGTCCATTTAATATGATGTTGGCTATTGGTTTGCCACAGATGACTTTTATCAGATTGAGATAAAGACAGTGTATTCCAGTTTTTTGGAAGGATTTTATCATGAATGAATGGGTATTGAACTTTATGAAATGGTTTTTCTGTGCTTTTGAGATGATTATATAGTTTAAATCATTTGCTCTGTTAATATGGTGTATTACATTTATTGATTTCCATATTTTGAACCATGTCTGCATCCCTGGGTTGAATCCTGCTTGTTCATGATGTATAATTCTCTTGATGATATGCTGCATTCTGATCACTCCTCAGCCTTTTGGCTAAGATCAAGTGATATGCTGCATTCTGTTTGCCTGTATCTTATTTAGGATTTTTGCGTCTATATTCATTAGGAAGATTGGCCAGTAGTTCTCTTTTTTTGGTTGGATCCTTCACTGGTTTTGGTATTAGGTTAATGTTTGCTTCCAGGAATCATTTTGGGAGTATTACTTCCCTTTCAATTTCATTAAAGAGTTTGAGGAGTAGTGGCATTAGATCTTTTCTAAATTTCTTGTAGAATTCAGCAGTTAATCCATCAGGACATGGAGTCTTTTCTTTGTTGGTAGGTTTTTAATTACATCATCAGTTTCATTGACTGATATTGGGTTATTTAAAATCTTTATATCTTCTTGATTCATTTTTGGTAATTCATATAAACATAGGAATCTGTCCATTTCTTCTGTGTTTTCCATCTTATTGGAATATAGGTTCTCAAAGTAGCAGGATCCGTTGTGATTTCACCCCTTTCATTTCTAATTGCGTGGATTTGAGTCTTCTTTCCTTTTTTTGATAAGGTTGGATAATGGTTTGTCAAATTTATTTAATCTTAAAAACAGAGCCAACTCTTCAATTCATTGATTCTTTGTATTGTTTTCTTAGTCTCAGTTGCATTCATTTCTGCTCTAATCTGTTTTCTTTTTTCTGGTACCGGAGATCAAACTCAGAACCTTGTGCTTGCTAAGCAGGCATGGCACTACTGAGCTACATCCCCAGCCCTCTGCTCTAATCTTTATAATTTCTTCCCTTGTATAAGCTTTAGGCTTGACTTGCTATTCTTTTTCTAGAAACTTGAGGTTAAGCATTAGATTATTTATTTGAACTTATTCTGTTTTTCTGAAGTGGGAATTTACTGCTATAAATATCCATGTTAGGACAGTTTTCTTGCATCCCATAAGTTCCGTTGTGTTGTCATGTTGTATTGGCATGAGCTTTTTTCTCACTATGTAGCTGACCTTGGCTGACCTTGAACTCACTATGTAGCTCAGGCTGACCTCAAACTCCCGGGATCCTCCTGCCTCAGCCTCCTTCGAGTACTGAATTTAC